ACAGTTAATTACAAGACCCCATTTTTGTTGTCCCTTTCCTTTTCAGTAAATAGTCACGTATAATCATATGAAACCGGAGTTTCAGATTAATTAATAAGAACACATTCTTGGTCTAAACTCCAACAACATCCCACAATACTCAACTGAATATACCAACCATCAAGTACTAAACAACTGGATCAGAAGGTACCCATAAACTCCATTGAGTTTATCCGTGTTCACCAAACCCATGCCTGAAATCACCAATCCAGTTATTCTTAAGCAGTTGAAGTGTTTGGTCTGGGTGGGGTAGGATTGGATAATTGAACTCTGTTTATTATTTCCTTTTTCCTTGTGAAATAGTTTTAGTGTCGATCTAAGAAACACCGATACTTGAACACTATCCAAGCTCCGATACTCTATGATGCCCTCCGATACGTATCGGGTACTTGTTTTTCAAATTATTTTATATTTTTAATTTTCAATACATGTTCGATACCTATTTTTTAATTATTTTATATGTTATATGATTTTCAATACGTATCCGATATTTCATGGTTTATATGCACTATATTACAAAATATTGATTTGAAACTTCTTGTACAACCTTCTTCATCTAGTACTGAAGGAAATTGGAGTGCGTACTCTTTCGTGCACTCTAAGAAAAGTAAAATAACAATACGACGAGTAGAAGAATTGATTTTCATTCATGGCAATTTATGTCTTTTACCAAGAAAATTAGATCTTATTCCAACGGAGAATCCAAAATGGGGATATTGTCGGAGACTTATTTGATACTTTTGAAGATGAAGGACTACTTAAGGTTGTTAATCTATCATTAGATGAGTAAGAGCTATAAAGTGTTTTTTAATGATAATGAAGAAATTGATATTGATGATGTTGAAGAAAATGAAGTTTTGAAATTAATGATTAAGTAAAATGCTTTAGTATCTTATTTTAGTTTTATTATCATACTTTTGTATTATTTTTTTATATTAATAAAATTATGTTAAATTTTGTAACATGTATTAGCGTATCCTAATTTTTTCAAAAAAGTCGTATTCACGTATCCATGCTTCTTAGGTCAATTGCTTCAAAGAAATAAACATTTTAGCCACGGTGACCAGCTATCCAATTAAAAGTCATTCTAATGCGTAAAGTCAAATTTATTATAAGCTATAGACTTGTTAAAATAATCATGAAATACATGTACAAAATTGTGAAGTTTCCACAGTAAAGACACAAGGATTGACCCTAATTTGTTGATTCAACTCGCACATTGCTGAAGGTAAACACTTACCCATGTATAATAAACATCAAATTAAGACTTATTTAAATCATATTTGGGGTCAGCTCCACGAATCCTTCACCATTCATTGCTAACTCTACTAGGAGATCTAAAGCAACAAGATCTTAAAAACTCCAACACGCCATATTAATTTTGGTCTATCCATCTCTTTTAACATGCTCTAATGAAATCGCTGTCACTCTTATGAATGGATGCAAAACACTTCTCAACCACTTGATTACCCTTCCCTTCCCTTATCCTTAATTGGTTCCAATTTACTTTGTTGGTGCATATTATCATTTCTTGCCTTCTAATTTTTGTATGACCACATGTCCAGCTTTCTATCTTCATTTTTAATAAATTGATCTTCCTTCTACCTTTCGGCAGCACCTTCAACATTCACCTAGGCTTACAGCAAAATAAAGAAGCTAAACATCAAATTGTTAAAATATCAAGTATAGGATAATGCCAAGGGGTGGTTGATTTTTTCTAGCAGTTGGGGCCCTTCCCTCACCACCCCCATGGGGATGGTCTACACAGCCCATTATGGAGAGTACGTGATGCAATCTACTCCATGATTCAATTGTGGCAACCTACCTTCCTACAAAGATCCTAATCCTAAGAAAGAAAGAACATTGGCTTTGTTGAGGATGTGCTCATTTTTCTTCAAGCAACCAATCCTCTCACTCTTGTCGCTACTAAAAAGGCCTTGGTTTAACCTGAAACAATGAGAAAGTGAAGGACCACCTTTTTTGCAATAATAATACTTGGCAGCTAAAGAACAACATATAGGCTAAAGTTGCCCATCACACCATCACTCTCTTTAAAGTCCCGAGTGCTAATTCTTAATGTGTTTATAATTGCTGTGTAGCAGGGACATGACTCTGCGACCTTACGGGGATGCTTTCTTATTAAGAAGCGATATCCTTGAAGTTCAATTATATAGTAAATATCCGCAGACTAAAAACTTTACTTTCCATCTATAGAAACTACGAATATGTTGAACCAACAATCAAAATAATATAGCGTTGCTGTCTAATCACTGATCTTTAAAACTTGCCTTTTAGCGTTAACAGAATCTTTTCATCACATAGAATACCTATAGCACTTCTCCATGTCATCTAACCCTCTCTAACCCTATGCATTACATCTTCTTGAAATCCTACTTCCTAGTCAATAATCCAACCTAGATTCCTTAAACAATCACTTTAAGAAACAATATGATCTTCTATAGTAACTCCACTCTCAAGCAACCCTCCCTCATCTACCTTTCATAAAAAACAAAATGCAATAACCCCCCAAAAAGAAAAATAAAAGGCACTAGCATCAAATTTAGAGGATAAAGAATAAATTAGCATGGTGAAGTAAGCCCACAATTATCAGAAGGTACCACACCAACTAATGAGATGGTAACTTAAAAATCCAAACAGCTTTACATTTAAATTATGTAACAATTAGAAAAATTAAATCTTGAATTTAAGATATTTTTGCAATTCAAGCTCAACAACAGGAAGACGTAACGTCCAAACACGATAGAATGGCATGAAAATAAAACCAAGAGAAATCACCTGAATTATACCCTTCACGCGCCAAGCCTTTTGCTTTAGAACAACAATCTGTGGATCATCAGGATGCAATGAATGCAATTCCTGCCGAACAGATTCCTGATTCGCATTGTGTTCAGCTGAGAGTTGCATGGCTTTGACTTCTTTCTCAGGTTTCTCTCGTCTTCCTAAGACCACCCTAGAGTCTCCAGCATTAGCAATATATAACATCCCACTACATACAATGCCCACCAAGCAACATGATCCAACAGATGCAATTTGTGGTTTACTATCCCATTGCTTTTTAACCAAGGACAGAAATTCGTCCTCTGTCGCCAAATATGCCCTTTTTATCACATCAGCTGACAGTTCTTGACTCTCTGATGTGAATTCTGCATTGCAAATAAATGTCAAGTATATATATGATATTAGAAAGCTTTAGAAGCACTTAAGGACTTGTGAATCATACCCCAGCAAAAGTCTCTAATCTTACAGCTGACAAATATATTTAAGTTAGGTTCTAACAAATTACTTTGGCTTCTTAGCTGTCGAGCAAAGCTACAATGCAAGAAGTTCTTAAAAAAATTTCTTAGATGGTCCACCAATTACATAATTATTAGACTAACTAAATATTTGTGTACTTCCAAAAGTTAATTATGATGGGAAAATAAGAACATATATTTTATTTTCTATAATATGTATGCAAAATTTTGCAGCTTTCCATATTGGACTGGTATATTTACTGTAACTCAGAGCCTGATATTATATCCCAACTTGTCCAAAACAGTATAAAAGATGCAATTTAACCTTTACAAAAGATATGCTCCAAATCCATTTTGCGAAGGTATCTTCAAAAGTTCTTACAATTACCAAAAGCAATCTTTTGGATAAAAATTTCTCTTAAATATCCATTCTTCTTTTTCGCCAAAGTTTGACCATGTATTATCACTTATATCAATGTACCGTTCTACATTAGTGCCACAAAACTTAACTGCTCAGTGGAATAGCATGTGTAATAAGATGCAGGTGGCCTAAAGTAAGAGATAAGCAGAAGCACCATAATGCAATGCTATTCAATAGAAATGCCCGTGGCAGCCCTATATTTGAATTGGAAATTGAGAGTTAATTACATTCTATTCTGGACAAGAGAATATCATCTTCAGTACAAACCATACACAATATCAAAATGCCAAAAGAACCATACAATTATCATTGTTGAAATCTGTAAACATACATTTGAGATTTGAAATTAATACAAGAAATAAATCATCCGTCAAGGAGAAGACACATACTCTTGATATTTTGGAAAAGTTGATTACTGATAAATATGGATGCCTCAGGACCTGCATGCCCATCATAAATTCCCACAAATGTCCCGTGAGGACCAGACTCGATGGAGCTCATTGGCCCTGACTCCAGCTGGCTCTGATCTTCCAATTTATTATTGGCTTGAACTACTGCCATAGAAAATTCCCCATTGACATGATGTCCCAAGTCTTTATACCACAACAAACCCTCCACCCGTCCACTCGGGTCACCCCCTCTATTTCTGCTATAATCTCCGTCATCCTCAACGTAAGGCTTCCAACAAGGAGACACAATCTTTCTCAATGTAGTTGTCACCATTGCATTTACATATTATCTTGGTAATTATATTTCCTTTTTCAACCTAGTGATCTACAATCAAAATGCCCAATTTTTCGTTAATGTGTTTTTTCTCATTTATAACAGCAGTTTCAATCCTATTTTGTCCTCAATTTCAAAACCCACATCACAATTTCCAAACTTTTCGCAGTCATCAAAAGATTCAGACGCCACCAATCTGTATCATGAACCAAAGAAAAAAATGCAAAGGACAAAATCAATAGTTCCGCGAGAAAAAA